TCCCCCAGAGGGCCCGGGGGGGATGCCCAGCCGCTTCCCCCCACCCAGTCATCTCTGGCACCACGGCACCTGGGTGGACATGAACTGCATGCGTGTGTGATGCCAATCATGTGTTTGCCTTTGTCTTGTGTTCCCACAGGAAATTCATTACCCTTAGAATACTTGACCGTGAGGAGTATGAGAAAGAGTGCAGTTTCTTCCTTGTGCTTGGGGACCCAGTGTGGCTACGACGAGGAGTGAAAGGTGTGAGAGTAAAACCAGACCAGCTCTCGAGACGCTGCCGTCCGCTTTCTCTGTGTCTCCCTACTCTCACACTCCTTTCTCCTCGCCCTTTGGCTCCCAGCCGTTTTGCCCTCCCTCCTTCGAAGCTTGGCCACTGCACCTTTTTGCTCTGTTTCCTTTCTTCTTTCATTTCTGGAGGACTCTGTCTCCCTCACAAGAGACCCCCGGGAGCAACACACACTCCCGGGAGGACCCCAGAACACCCGGGCAGGGGACGATGAGCATCACCAGCCCCAAAAAAAACATTTTGAGAGTGCTTGCTGCCCTGGCACGTTGCAGCTATACCTTCATTTAATTGAGGAGAAAATTCAGTCTCGAGAAGTAAAAAGGTGATGCTGCATCATTTTTATCGGAAGATAAAAGAGCCTTTGCTTGGAATGAAATGCATGGCCAGAGCGGTAATTTTAGCCTTTTTATACTGGCAGTAGGATCTGAAAATAGCTGAGAATCACAGCACAAGCAGGTAATACCATAAGATGCAATCAGTCTAGGAGAAATCAGGTTATATTCAAATAAAGTTTCATGGCTCTGCACTGGATAATAGCTTCTCATAGGAATAATAAAAACAATTTCCTCTTTCATCACATTTCTAAACCAACAGCAAACCTTCCCAAAAAAAGACAGAGTTCACTTATTTTTCCATGCATTTTTATTTTTTTCTGATAGGAAATGAGCGAAAATTAATGTCAACAGCTAATTCTGTGCACTACTGGTGGCTGAGCAAGAAGTAGTTTTAGAGTTACTTAAGATAATGAGTTGCCCTACAACAGACCCTTATTAAAGCCTTTGTAAAAAATTGGCAGCAGCATTTGGTCTATCTGCCTTGGAGCTGCTTTCTGATTTCTGGGACATAAGCTCTCCCTTCAGCAGGCAGGGGGTTGTAATATACTATTTGTTCAGGACAGAGAGGGCCCCCAGCAGTCCCCGTGCTGAGTGGGGACATGCTGGCGTATTTCGGGATAAAAACACATCTGGCAGCGATGCCGTGTTCCCTTTCAGTGCAGCTGCTGTCTAGGTCAGCTGCATTGTCCCCTCCAACACGTTCTCTGCTGCTTTATGTGACTAGCTAGCAGAAGCAGGGCTGAAAAATCATACTCTGCAGGCGGAGACTCTGCAGGCGGTATTTGTATCATAAAATGGTGCTGGTGGCATCTATGGAGCATAGCCAGTGTTGCCAGGATAAAGTGACACATGGAAAGTTCACCTCGGCAGTGCCGGCTTTGCCCAGCTTCACAGGGACCCGTGTGGGCTCAGCCTTGCGAGTTCAGCAAGAGCAAACCTGCTTCCCAGGCCCCAGCTTTGAGAATTGTGGTACCGGCTCATAAGATCCCAGATCAAAGGTTGAGTTAAAAATAAAAGGAGAAGGAAAGAAAGTCACTCATCTTCCTGATCACAACGATAACTGAGGAAACCGGAGGGAAGATCAGCTTTGCCATCTCACTAGCTGGATGGAAGACAAGATTTTAAAGGATGCTATTTCCTGCTTTGGCCATGAAACTTTTTTTTAAAAAACTTGGTATTTGTGCTTGGTTTTGTCCAAGAGGCAGTGAGGCAGGGCGAGCTGTGTCCTCAGCACCCTGAAGGTGGGAGCATCTCTGCCATGCCACCCTTGGGCCACGTAGCTGTGGTAGGGTCTGAACCTCAGGGACCAAAGACCCACCAGTGCAATAAGGGAGAGGCTTTTTTTCTTTTGTTTTGGAGACCTAAAATCTTGAGTGAGAAGGTTCTAGAGCCAAGCCTTGCCACAGACTCTTCTCCTCCCGTTGTGTGCACCAGCAGTGCAGCTGTCTGCTGGAGGAGCTCAAAGCCAGTAGCCGCTGCACACTGGACATCTTGTGTCCTCCCCCGGGGCAGAACTGCCTCTGAGACCAATGGAAGATCTTGCACATGCAATTCAAAGGGAAAAAATGAATTTTTGGAGTGTGCCTTTTAATCCCATGTCCACCCCATGTTTGCAATAGTTTTTATTTTAAATCCACAATCCCATGAAACATTTCTGCTCCTTTATTTGTAATGCCTTTCTCTCAACACTAATGGTATCCTGCAGCTTTACAGATCTGAAATCTCTGCCACGGGATCTGGAGTCTTTCTGTGGATATCCCTTTTGATTTCATTATTCATTTACTTTTCTTCTTCTGTGTTTGTCTCTGTCTGTCTCCTTCACAGCCCTGTTGTTGAATGAGCTTGGTAAGCGCGCATTCATTTTTCTTTTCCATTTTTACAGTTTGTCTGCGTATTTTTGGAAGACGATTTTGTTTGACGTTTTTCTTTGCTCACAACGTTCTCTTTTAGGGTGGTCAGCAATATTTAAGTAAGCTCAGGTATCTAATGCCACATCTTTACCCCGGAGTAGAGCCCCAAGTGGCAGCCCACTGTGGCGAGGAGCATTTTTCAGAAGTGACGTTGTTACAGCCATAGTAAACCTGCTGACACCCTGAGTCCCAAACCTGCCCCGTGCAAATTAACCCGTCACCTCTTACACTGGCGCGGCAGAAACGGGATTGCCTGTGACTCAGCGATGCTTGGACAGGAAAGTTGGCCAATCCTTTTTGAAGAGACTGCCTCCAGTCCTGGGGAGGGTTAGAGCCCACCTAGCCTCTGTATTTCCTTGCTGGCCATGCTGGGGAGGGAAGCAAAGCAGCCCTCGTTCCCCAAAGCACCCCCAGCCCTGGGACGGGCTCGCGCTGCTTTTACCCTTTCTGCAGCTCATATTAGATACTGCGGGGTGGCAGCTTGCAGGTGTGGGTTGAAAAGTCTGTGTTCAGGTGTCCCCAGCCTGTCCCTGGGGTGCGTGTCAGGGAGCAGCCCCCGTGCCCACAGTACCCGGCCGTGGGGCAAGGAGGTGCCCCCAGCTCCATGCAGGCTGCAGGGCATCCGTGTGTTGCTGTGCCCATGCTAACCCTCCATTTCTCTCTCTCTCTCTGTCTCTCTCTCATTTTTGGTTTCATCTAGGTGGCTTCACCATCACAGGTATGGATTTCTGCTCTCCCCCCACCCACCCCTTCCCTCCTCTTAATGGCCATATGCTCACCCTGCTCTTTCCTCTTGGTTTCCTCTTTCCTTTTGTTCTGTCCTGGAGGGAAACTCTGGAAGGGTAAGAAGGCGCTGTGCCGCGGCCCCTGGCCAGTCACACTAACGCCTGTCCTCCCACAGAGTGCTTTGCCTGCCGCGCACACCTAACCCCCGCCTTGGGAGCGGGGAGCTGTCACCCCCAAACAACAGGCAGCCCCCAGCCAGCTCTTGGAGCGGGGGGAGCTTCACCACTTGGCCCAACCTTCTCCTCCCCGGTGCCCACCCGGGAGGTGTGCGCAGGGGTCTGCAGAGCACGGGGAGCCCGTCCCCGCTCCCCAGGCAGCAGATGGGGTGCCGGAGCACTGCGGGAGGTGCGGGACCCCATGGGGAGACCCCGCAGTGGGGTTTGCTCATCGGTCCTTAGCGAGCCGAGCATCCGTCGTTAGGAGAAGCGCTGCAGAGGGAGAAGGTCCCAGGTCCCGCACGTTGCAGAGCAGTCCCTCAGAAGCCCTGGAGACATTAATTCAGACTAACGAGGACTGTCAGGAGGAGAAGGGCTTTCCTGGGCGGGTGCAGAAGAGGGGCAGCCAGCAAGGGAGTGACACTAACCCCGTGTGAAGTAGGAGTAGAGTTTACTAACCGCACGGCAGTGGTTTGCATGGGGTGTACAGTCCCTCCTGCTGATCTCCTGCTGATCGCTTTGGTTGATAGGCAACCCTATCTTCAGGAAGGTCCAAGCTAGAGATCATCCTCTTCTTTGCACCGTGGTCACCATCCAAGGTACCCGCAGCGTGACACCCAAGGGCCGTGGCAGTCTGATGGGGACTGACGGGGGTGTTTGCCTACTGACAGTTTAACTCCTGTCTCCGGTGAATCCAGCCCTTTTTAGCCCTGATGTCCTTCTGCTCATCCCTGGGATGGACTGCTCAGCGGGGCTCTGTACAGGGACAGTGACAAAAGCCATGCTGCCTGGGGTCCCCATGCCCCAAAGGTGGCACAGATGCCAGTGGAGGTGCAGCCCTGCTCCACTGCTCTTGTAGGCTCTCTGTTGCCTCCTGTCTCAGGGTTTGGGCCCAGGCCATGCCCTGTGGATGGCTCCTCACACCTGTATGGCCCAGCACTGTTTCCTTCAGCCTTGCCAGCGCAGCAGGAGTTGCATGCTCTCTTGCTGCCAGCCCCCTCCCCAAGGTACAGCCCTGCCCAGAAGGAGGCAGAGCCAAGATTTCATACCTATCTCAGCCCTGGGGCTGCCAGCAGCTCTCTCTAGTTGTAACAGGCTGATGAAAATGTCCTGACCGTGCACCGATGAGGACCCGGAGGGCTGGGAAATGGAGCAGTCTTAGTGATGATCTGTCCCCTCCCAGCACCCCTGAGGGAGAGGCAGCAGGTACCAGGGGATACGCTGCTCCCCAGCCCTCAGGAGGACCCTTTCTGAGGCTGGAGGGGTGACAGACCTCTTGCTAGCATTTCCCAGCACAACTACCTTTTCTATTGCTCCATGACCTCCTCCTTCTCAGCTACTCTGTCGCTCATGCTCCCACACAGAAGCTTCCTGACCTCCCCCTCTGATGGGAAGCCACCTCCAGAGAGTGACCACCTGGGCCTGGCTTACCAACGGGCTCTTTGCTTTGCAGAGGAGAGTGAAGAAAAGCAACCGCTGACCAGCAAGGAGGAGGAAGAACGTAGAATCGCAGAGATGGGGCGCCCAGTCCTGGGGGAGCACACCAAACTTGAAGTCATCATTGAGGAATCCTATGAGTTCAAGGTACATCTGTGTCCCCTGTCCCTGTTCTTCTTCCCCCGTCCCAGCTGGGGACCCTCCTTTTGGGTTTGCACAGCACAGGCAAGCAATGGTAATGGCCTCGCAGCAAAGCGAGGCGGTTCCTGGCATCACAAGGTCTCAGAGCATGACCAAGGGACACTTTGAAAGGTGGCTGAGCCAAGGCACGATGAAAGGGTGACGGTCACTCCAGTAATACGTTGGTGGGTTAAAATACACTCTGCATCCTGATTCTGTCCATTAGCCCACAGCTATGGTCCTTGGGGGATGATCCCAGACTTTCTGTCCCACTCACAGACTGTTTGTGGTTATTATTATACAAGTGCAGCAATCTGGAGAGCTTAAGAGCTGACTGGGCTCCAAAATGCTGCAGGTTGCTTTAAAATATAACATCGTTCTCACAGTGATGTGCTGCACCCAGGTCCTTACAGGCAGGCTGGGGTGAGCCCTGAGCCCGGGACTCCCAGCGCAGAGGGCTGATTCCTTGATAAATGCAAGTAGTGGTCGTGAAGCTAAGCTGCCATGAACGTGTGTGCCAGACCAAGAGCTGAAACCTGGCCGTTTCATTATCTTTTCCATTTTTCTGTAGTATAAAAAAATAAGGCCACCCTTACTGCATGGCAGCAGTGGCTGCCTCCTCCCAGGGTTTTTCTGCCCATGGTCGGTGTGCGTCTGAGGCATCACAGCGTGCGGGCAGCCCCCAGCCTGCCTGCCCAAGAGAATCTTCTACATCTCCTACCCACGGCTGCCAGAGCAGCTTCCCTGCCGTTGCTGAGCGCCAGCTCCTGAGCAGCCCAGAGAGGTAGAGCCCAGCTCCACAAAGTTCCAGTTAGTGCTTTGAAGCAGCCTGGTAAAATTCTTCCCAAGGCATTGCAAACAAGAGGATCTGTGGCACCTGAGCACTATTTGCTCTTAAACCTCTGCTGAAATGGTTTAAACTCTCCTCACGAGCAGGTTTCAAAATGTCTTTTTGAGCGGCAGCAGGGGGAATTGCAAGTACTTACGTTTGCTTTCACTGCTGGGGCTCTTGACCTGATCTTAAAACCTACAAAGCTTTCCCCATCAGTGCATGGCTGTAAGCACTAGCACCCGTGGGTTTTAGCCCAGCATCTCCAGCCCAACAGCCCCTAATTCTCTCCTCTGTGTCTCCATCCACAGAACACGGTGGACAAGCTCATTAAGAAGACAAACCTGGCCCTGGTGGTTGGCACAAACAGCTGGAGGGAGCAGTTTATTGAGGCTATTACTGTCAGCGCAGGTGAGTTTGGACCACAGCTCTGGGTGAATTACTATCAACATCGCTTGTGTCTCGGCTGGGCTGTGTCAGTAATACCCACGGTAGTGGAGCGGCAGGATGCAAAACAGGTGGCAGAGTTATTTACAGCTTCTGCATGAATAAGACAGCTGATTAAACCCTTTTGTGAAATCACCTTGTCTGATGTGTAGGATCCTCCTGCATCAAGCCTGTCTGTAGCAGCTGGCAGAGAAACACCCTGGCTGTTAGCAGATGGCAGAGGGGGAAAGTCATTTTGGTGAGAGAGATCTGGGAGGCAAAGGCAGTGTTTAAATTCAGAGTGGCATCAATGATACTGGTGCAAAGCAGCAGTGCTCCACATCCCTGGCGCTCCCCGTACCGCTGCGGTGAGGACAATGCAGTAGCCAAGCCCTGAAGCCAGCCACTGGGTCACCATCTCTGTGGGCCAAAATTCGCCCTTGACTCCCTGCTTCCAGCTGTGGCTGGAGGTTATGGCTCAGCAGCCCAATAGCTGCAGCAGCATGTGATATCTGAGGTCATATCAGACCATATCAGGTTGCCCAGGGAAGCTGTGGATGCCCCATCCCTGGAGGGGTTCAAGGCCAGGCTGGATGAGGCTTTGGGCAACCTGGGCTAGTGGGAGGTGTCCCTGCCCATGGCAGGGGGGTTGGAACTCAATGATCCCTAAGGTCCCTTCCGACCCAAACCATTCTGTGATTCTGTGATTCTATATCTCACCTCTCTTGGAGAATTGCCTTTCCCTCAGAAATGCCCTGTTGTACTGTGTTCACAGACGCCAGTACCATGTTTACCAGTATGCCCAGTGTAGGATACATTAGCATTCCCACATATGTGGAAAATGAAAGAAAGGTCTCCTCCAGATGTGGTTTTAACAGCTGGAGACACTGTAACTCACTGGCTGGATGTTCCAACCTCACAGCCCAGCCTGGGCTGCCTGTGTGCATGCATTAGGGCAGAATCAACCTTCTTAACTTACTGGGGAAGGCAATTTCAGCTTGTCTGGCTAATTGTGCATTGAAATGCATGGGGGACCACTCACGCTTCCTACCTTGAGCTCTGCTGTACAGAATAACCTCTGCCCAGCACACAGTAATTAAAAGTGATGGCTGTACCATTTACCCTCTGCCTCTGAAAATGAGGACAGGACATCATTGTGGAGCAGCTATCTCCTCAAATTGAGATCCTTCCTCTTGTAGCATTGTTATTCTTAGAGCCTCCAGCCAAGAGCCTTCCCATTATTTCAGATAAGCATGAACATATCATGCAGGACAATCGTTGCTGCAGGTTTTGTAGCTAATACAGCTAAAGTAATCTATGCCAGAATCCATTATTTAATTGCAGCCCATATTAAAGCAAAGACAATCTCTGCTACTTGGATCCCATCTCTGTGAGACACGTAAAGACTACGGATATGTGAAAGCTCCATTGCCACTGGGTCTTGCATATACAGCCACCATCAGTGCTAACAGGGTGATTAACAACCATTTAACAAATGTGGCCTATTTCAGTGGACATAAGCTGTCCCTTGCAGTTGGGGAATAGTAGTTTGCCTCTAAGCTCCAGACCTACTTTTTTCTGCCAGGATTTAGCTCCTCAAGCTTTGTGCCAAGCAAGTTAAAATGCCTCAAACAATGGAGTTTGGGTTGGAGATTTTCCCTGCAGCCCACCACGGAGAGCAGGTGAAAGTCACACATTCCCACTTCAAAACGTGACATCCCAGCTGAGAAAAGAAACATTAAAACTCTGTTTCCCACCCAATGAGCAACTGGCGGCAGTGTTGGCAGGGAGGCTGAGTGATGGAGCAGCAGGAGGTCGGCTTTGTGGAAGCGCAGTGCAGGTGTCAGCAAGACCGTGCGACACCACGCTGTGCCTTCCCGTGGTGTCTGTGGGGCTGAGCTGAAGCCTCTCGCCCGTAGCTGCCTTCGGTGTGCACCCGAAAGTCCATGAAATTTCTGCCACAGCAAAAACATGCTGGGGTTTGTGAGCCTGGTCCTGAAGGCACCCCTGGGTCACCATCCAACCTCACTCTGAGTTTCAAGTCACCTTCACAGGGCCTGGTGAGCTCTTCAAAAGAGAGACGTTATTGCTGCTTAACGAAATGATAGACAGATCCAGACAAGGGTTGTGACAGTGGCACTCGTGTTCGTTTTTCAGTCTGTTTTATCATCTCCATAAAGATTTAGATCCATGACAGTCCTGCTGCCATGCAGCTCAGAAGACGATTAAAATACCTGCTGCAAGATTACAGTGTGAGCACAGCACAATGTATCCTGCCAGTACCAGCCTTCGTGCAACAGGAAAAGAATAAAGGCCAGCATAGGCTGCCCAGGCTGCAAAACTGTTCCTTATCTCCACGACGATGCACAGGAACAGGGTATTTATATCTGCCAAAATAACACCATGCCACTGATTAGCTACTGTTTGTGCCATAGTGAGTTTGAAGATTTAAAGCCAAGCAACACATAACTTCCCATCAAGTTATTGCAGAGACGGCAAGTTTCCCACTGCCTGTATCTTACATGTTGGTCTCAGTCTGCAAAGGTGCTTTGAAGACAAACAATGTGTGCAAAGTTGCACCCCAACAGGGTTCTGACTTTTCCCTGGTTGCTCAGCTTCCTCTCCTCTTGATTCACCAAACCACCTCCTTCCACCTCTCCATTAGAGGTTCCCTCCTGCCTTGCTCTCGCTGGCTCCATCACTACCCTCTCCCCTGCAGCTGCATCTCTGCTGAGAGCCCCAAGGATGCCAGCAGAGTACAAGGTTTGCATGCACTAGAGCTGGGGCACACCAAGAGCAGATTGACTCCCTTTACAGGTTACCACATCTCTTGAGGATGATCACAGCCTGGGTGATCCCTGAGCCTTTTCCTTTTCTTGCTCCTGTGTGCTGCTGGTGCTCTTTGCGGTACCACAAAGGGGACTAGCCAAGAGGTGAAACTTCACTGCACAGGGCTTGACCTCTGCTTTCCCAGGAAGAATGCCACGTCTTGATTCCCCAATTGGCTTTTCGTCACCACCTTTGCGAGGAGACAGAAAGCAACTGTTGTTATGAGCAGCACCAAATCAAGCAGCTCACCAGCAGCTTCCCCCAATAACTCTGTTGCCATGGCACAGAGCCACCATTTGAACATGGGGTTAACTGATACCCACATACGGGTACACAGTGTACAGAAAGAGCATTTTATTCTCCCTGTGGGAGGCTTTATACATTTTGTTATTCAATCAAACATCCGCATCGTAGAGGAAGATGTGAAAGGAGGAATGTTCACCCTGGCCAGCAGTGGGGCCGATAAAAAGAGCACGATCTCGTTCAAAAGCTTATGCCAGCCTCATCGGTACTGTGGCTTCTCCCAGGCACAGAGACATCTTCCCCATAAACCCAGTGTCTGGCTAGGTGGGACCTTGTCCCCTTGCCCACCGCAGTGGAGCAGAGCAGAGGCTCAGGTTCCACTGAGTGCTCTTGGCTGCTCTGGGACCTGGCCCCTTTTTTCTGCCGTCCCCAGGTGTCCTCTGGGGAGGGAGAGCCCGGCACACTCATGCCATCCGACGGGGACGGACTGCACATGGTGTCCTCCCCTTGGTAAGGAGCTTCTGCCAGCAGCCATGCAGGGAGATCTGGTGGTCCACATCCTTGGAGGGAGAAAAAAATCCAACAAAGACAACGACAAATCAGCAACCTGAGTGCAACCCTTGGAATCCCTGATGTCTGTAACTTAGACCCCATCTTACCCATCTTCATTCACTGAGGGTGGAAGGAAGACTCCCTCTAATTTCACTGCGTCACCTCGCCTTCACGCCCAGGAGTGGTTTGAGTGCAAGCTGGGAGGAGCTGGCATGACTCTGGCACTGTGTGCTGGGCCAGGCTGGAGGAGCGCCGTGTTCTCCATGAGCCCTGCCCAGAGGACAGGCTGGCGGAGCTCGTTCAGAGCTGCTGGGGGGCTCGCTGGCAGGGTCAGCCCTGCACAGTGGGGACTTGGCTGGATGCCAAGTGGTTTTGGAGAGACGGGTGAGGTGCTGACAGGGAAGGGAGAAACAGAGACACCTGCCTGGATCCCCACGGCCCCGCCAGGACCAACAAGATGAAGATGTGCTGGGCCAGCGCTGGTGAAAAGGGCCGAGGAGCCAGGGGAGGGGGCCAGGACAGTCTGACATCTGCTGAGCTCTTTCGTGGTGACCCACAGGATGGCTTCTGGGCACAACCCAGCCTGCACGTCCACGGGGTATGGCCGTGGGTGCATAACTCCCTAAGTGCCCAGCAGCACTTGGGACATGCAGCAGCTGGCACTCGGGGTCTGAGAGCTCCCGACACACCAGGCAGGATGCACACAGACTCACATCCCCAATTTCCTGTCTGTCCTGGAGATCCAGGCCTTGCAGGTGCTGCAGGGACCACAGCCGTGAGCAGCAGTGCTCTGTGCGGGGCCAAGCTCAGCATGGCACCAGGATAGCTGCAGTCCGACCCACACAACGTGCCCAGTGAGCAGAGATGGGGCCAGCACTGCTGGCAGGCTCATGCTGGGAAAATTAGCCCTGCAAGGCATAAACAACAGATTGGTGAGAAGTGAAGCACTGACCTGGATCAGGGACAGAAAATAAAAGAACGAAAGTGTGGTTTTGCTGTGACAGATGACACCCTGCAGCTGGCTCATGGCCTGGGGTGCTTGACAGCTACCTGGAATGGTGTGGCAATGGGAAAGCATTTTCATGGGCAGGGGGTGCCCACTGACCTTGGTCAGACCTGACCAAAAGGAATAGGCAGACAGAGCTTGTAGAGAGGCACATAAGGGGGCAGGGAAATGCAACAGGGAAGGGCAGTCAGCGATGATGGAGCAGGGAGGTTTCAGGGCAGGTATTGTTAATGGCTGGATCCCAGTTTGCAGAAAAGGTGAAGCACCAGAGCTGGCAGCTCAGCGGCCACCACAACCAGAGATGTGGAAGCAATCGCAGGAGTTTGTGAAAAAAACAGCTCAAAAAGAGCTTCCTTAGGGGAATGTCCACAAGGCAACATGTTGCTCTTGGTGGGGTTCACACACCCCAATCTGCTCCAGCCAGCGTGAGGCCAGTTGTCTCCCATGTTGTCTGGGGAAAAGGCTTCTGAGCAGAGGCTGAGTCCCAAAAAGCTTCTGGTGCCTAACCTTAGGCAGAGGTGCTAGCATAAGGCTCTGCATTTCCTGAAGTGCAGGTTGGTTTTCGAGGCTGATGCCTTTGGAGGGTCTCCGTGCTGTGGGAAGGGGCTAGGAAAGGTCATTGAGCCCCTCTAATGATTGCCCAGAAAATAAGACATTTGGAAGCCAAGGCTTTCTAGGGCCCGGCTCATGAGAGACGGCATTTGCGGGGCTGCAGTATGCACAGGAACCCAGCCTCCCGTGGGATGGGAGTCTAATCAGGCACTCGTGGTTTTCTCCAGGGGAAGATGACGATGACGATGAATGTGGGGAGGAGAAGCTGCCCTCCTGCTTCGACTACGTGATGCACTTTCTGACCGTCTTCTGGAAGGTCCTTTTTGCCTTTGTGCCCCCCACAGACTACTGGAATGGTTGGGCTTGCTTCGTTGTCTCCATCCTCATGATCGGCCTCCTGACAGCTTTCATTGGCGACTTGGCATCTCACTTCGGCTGCACCATTGGCTTGAAGGACTCAGTCACCGCAGTCGTGTTTGTCGCACTGGGGACATCGGTGCCAGGTAAGGACAACAGCAGAGTTTATCGTAAGGGTCCATCTCTGCTCAGTCTGGGTTTGGCTTTGGGCTGGGAAGGCTGCACACAGCGAGGTCCTTGGCTATGCTTTGCAGGACCCCTGAGGACAGATTTGAGGTGTATGTGGGAGTTGCTTTTCAGACTCAGATGGGCCAGGAGGATCGAACCAGGACATGGATTCAGTCCCCTGAAATTATTGAAATAATTTCAAAATGTGCAAGGACCTTCCCCTTGCAAAGACTAAAGTATCTACTCCTGTGGACAGCCTCCATGGCATCCACTCTCAGAGTAGGAAATTGGTCTTTGATGAAAACGCTGCCTGTGTTGGTAGTCCTGAGTTTTCTGTCTGAGTATCTGCTCCTTTAACGTTGCTGCCCAGGTGAGTTAGGTGTTAGTTTGTACTCAGGACACTCTGCCCAGCGCGGACCCCTTTGTGTGAGACCAGAGTCAGCTTTGGTTCAGATGGATTGAGGTGAGGCTGCTGAGGTGGGGGAGCTGGTCAAAATCCAACTTGTGAAGCCCCCAGAAGGCCCCAGCCCCACAAACCTTTGGAGATGTGTCTCTGATCAAGTGGTCACCCAACCTCAGAAGACAGCAGACTGAGGACTGACGAGGGAGAGAAGAAATCATGTTTCCTTACCTACCTGCCACTTTGTCCCCCCATTGCACACTGACTTGCTGCAACCCAGCCTCCTTTTCTGCTGGCTCAGCAAAGGCCCCTCTTAGGGATGAACCAGGGCACTGGAGCAGCTGGTCCCAGTGACACGGTTGCTCTGGGAAGTCCCGTGTCAGACTGTGCAGGAGGACTTGTGCCTTCCACTCACCTTCTCCAATGGGCTGTGCTGGCCATGCACAGCCTGGTTCCCAGACAAGGGGCTCTAACCCAACCCGACCATCCCTCATGTTGGTCCCTCACCACCCCCAGGCTTCCAGTGATCAGCACGTGGGTGCTCAAAGACCTTGACATTGTCCTAATGCTACCAGAGCCCAAAAAAAGAAACAACAGAACCAAAAGGAAGAACAGATTTGGGCAAGGAACAGTGGAAGGAGCATTTTTCAGACTCCTGGAACTCCGAGGCGTGAGGTTTGTAGGGCTGTCTCACACCCTTGAAGGCGAAAGTCTTCCCTCCTCCTTTTGTCAACGAAAGGTGCAATTTAAGAAGGTTCTTTTTAGGATACATTTGGCTACTCTTGTTTGAACGAGCAGATGCTCCCAGACTGTGTGGTGTTAGCCGGGTGCTAGCTGGGCTCCTCCACCCTGGGGAGGTGCAGGGTGCTTTCCAGGAGGTGGACAAACATGCAGTGAAATACAGACTGACAGAGACCTTCCCAGCATTAAAAGCACTTCTCAAGCTGTTTCCACACTCTGGCTGGTGCTGGCAGCGGGCCCCAGATGTGCCCCATCCCACCTCTCGCAGTGACAGCTGCAGCGCCACAGATGCACCAGCACTGTCCCACAAGGCTGAAAACGAGGGGAAATGCCTTTTCCTTCCCCTAGCCCTAAGATGTGAGCTCCATGGGAGCTCTTTTTAAAAAATAAAGCAGCCTTTTGATTTCTTCGCAGTGCTAATAGGTGCCCAGCCCCTTCTGTTACATGAAACTGGGTCTTCGTTCCAGGCTGAGCTCCGGTGTCTCACCCTGGAGCCCCGCTGGGAAGGAGCATGAAGGAAACTCTGTAGAATTAAAAATCACGAAATCTGACCTCACCGTTTGCTTTTCTGAGCCACGCTCTGCTGCCTGTACCCAAGGTGATGTGGGAGGGCAGATGCGTGAAGTGTTCATCTTCTCATCACTAGCTGAGGGTGCTCGCCTGGACAAAGCCCAGATGCTCATCCCCCATCCTGCTCACTCCCTCTGCAGATCCAGAATGGGTTTGGAGGTAAAACCAGTGCTTCCCTATGGTGCAGAGAAGCGTCATGCTGGTCTACTCGACACGAGATCTGCCACGTAAAGGGCCAGATGAATTTTATCACAGCTCTTTTGCCACCGCTGTTAAAGCTGGTGCAGCACCTGGCCAAGCGTACACCCTCCCATGTGGTTTTTCTCCCTGAGGGATGAAGGATGACCGTCTGTTTACCAAAGCACCAGAGTCTGCACAAGACCCTGGACTTTAGTGAGGCAAAAGGTATTTGGAGTGACATCATCAAAGCAAATGTAGGAACACAAATACAAAACTTCAGGGGACCTGAAGGATAGATACAAACCACTGTGGCTCCCACAAAGCTTTTCCAACCTCTTCAATTCTTTTGCAAGTCAACAAATTGGCAGATGTGGGAGAAGGGGCCAATGCCGTGTAGTACTGGGAAGTGTAGTCTCATGCTTGAAACTCTGTGGGGGCATCTGGGGCCATAATGGGGGAAACCCTGTATTTCTGGACATTGAGATTTCCCTCCTGGGCATTTCTGGACCCTTACTCTGGCTCTGGACAGATGTGCCCTTCCTTGGGAGTGCCAGTAGACGAGGCTGTACCTTGTCCCCTTACCCAGTACCTTCATTCTCCAAGGGATGCCGTTGATATTTGTCCCCAAGCTGCCTGCTGCTGTCCCTCCTTTCCTGGCTGTTTCCTGACAGCTTCTCTCCGCCTTCCCTTTGCAGACACATTTGCCAGCAAAGTAGCAGCTACACAGGACCAGTATGCGGATGCCTCCATCGGGAACGTCACTGGGAGCAATGCCGTGAACGTTTTCCTGGGCATTGGGGTGGCCTGGTCCATCGCGGCCATCTACCACGCAGCACACGGACAAGCCTTCCAAGTCTCACCTGGTACCTTGGCCTTCTCTGTCACCCTCTTCACCATTTTTGCATTTATCAGTGTGGGCGTGCTGCTCTACCGGCGGAGACCTGAGATTGGAGGTGAGCTGGGCGGGCCGCGGACTTCCAAGCTGCTCACAACCTCACTCTTTATCCTCCTGTGGCTCTTGTACATATTCTTCTCATCTCTGGAAGCCTACTGCCACATAAAGGGCTTCTAAAGGGACAATCAGAGATAGTAAATATATATATATCTATATGTATCTATATAGAGTGATATATAGGTATAGATATAGATATAACGCTGTGTATAATGAACAGAGAAAGAATAAAAGAGATTTGCCATGTTCACACACCTGCTGACAGAAGGCGTTTTTTTTTTGGAGCGTCCTTTGAACTAGGCAGGACCCAAAGCCAGCAGGACCCTTCCCCAGGCAGCGGCCCCGGCCAGGAGCCTGGCGGCAGGGCCCTCGCTGCAAC